AAAAAAAAAAAAAAAAAAAAAAAAAAAAAAAAAAAAAAAAAAAAAAAAAAAAAAAAAAAAAAAAAAAAAAAAAAAAGAATTGAAATTCATGACTCAGTAACACATGTTAAAATGAGAATAAAGGGAATAAATTATCTTTAGATTACTGTTTTCCTCAGTGATATGTAAGGGTATTGATAGATAAGTTTGCATGTTGCAAGCTTTGGGACAATCAGTGATAGAAGCAGAGTAAATAAGTCTTCAGTTAGTAGCATTAAAAGATCAGAATGATAATATAATCCATCCATCTAAAAGAAGGCAATAACAAATAGTAGAACACAAATAGTACAAAAAGTAAGTTACAATAAATTTAAGGCAGAAATCTAATAAAATAAAAGTAAAAAATAAGTAGATACAGTAAATGTCAGTGAATAAAGTGCTAAGTGCTCTGGGTAAAAAAAATTATTGACAGACTCTTAAAAAATCTTAATAAAAAATAAGCTCAGGATGTTTAAAAGAGATGCTTGTAAAATATAAAGATACTGAAAGTTTAAGAATAAAATGATGGGAAAAATATCACGTACAACTAATAACAAAATAAATGCCAATGTAGCTATAATAATGATGTTAGACTATATATATATATATACACATATATATTTCATATATATATATATTATATAAAGCATTGCTGGTGATAAAAGAGATTGTAGTGATAAAGTATTCAATATTCAATTCATGGACAACATAAAAGAAGTGTAAATTCATATGTACTGAATAGCATAGCCTCAAAATAGGTAAGGTAAAAAGGAGGTAGGACTATAAGGAGTATTTTTTAAATTAGGATCTAAAACTAATAACTTTCTTAGAGGAGTTTAACATACTCTTCTAAATTAATTCAACTGGAATAACTAGGCAAAACTAAATGAATACACAACTATATAGATGATTTGGACAATTCCTAGGTATTAGACTTGATCCAATAGATACATATCACACTTCAAAAGTCCAGACTATTCCTTATTAGTAGGTATACCCAGGACAGAAATCTATTACATATTGTGCCATACAGCAAATGTTAACAAATTCAGGGGATTGAAAACGTGGACTATTTTCTCTGACTACAATTCATTTAAGAAAAACAATCAAAAGCAAAGAGAAAATAAAACATTACCCCTACGTTTGGAAATGAAGAAACACTGCGTCTCGATACAGATTGAAAGGTGCATGAAATTGACACACTCAACAGATTCCAGTCTATTTCTCCTTTCCCTCATGGTCTTCATGACTGGCACTATTATCCACTTCATAGCCTAAGGCATTATTTTTGGTCCTACTGACCTCACCTTAGCTCAGGCTTTCACCAATGATGATGCAGTTTTTTTGGCAGCTTGTCTCTTCACTCTAAAAAAGAAGTAAATTGATAATATTAGAATTAATAGGATAGTTTAACAATATTTTCTGAAATAAGTAAGACGGATTAGTCAGCTCCACTAGTTTCACCTGCAAATACATTTGTAAAGCAATGAGGCTCATTTACTTTCTACCCTCTGGAAATCACATTTCCCATCCCAAGCTAAAATTTCTGGGCTTAACTATGTTCTTCATTCACCTCTTACACTCCTCCTCTATTGCAGCATGTGTTATTAAAAATGGCATCTTCTAAGAATAGCTGTTGGCTTATTGCAAGTCACATCTTTCGTCTGTTTTTGTGTATCTTTTCTACAGATCCCCCTGCAGTGGAACCAGCATTCTTGGAAATCCGGCAAGGACAGGACCGAGGTGTCACTATGAGCTGCAGAGTACTGAGAGCCTATCCAATAAGGGTGCTGACCTATGAGTGGCGCTTGGGCAATAAATTATTACGGACGGGTCAGTTTGACTCTCAGGAGTACACAGAGTACCCTGTGAAGAGTCTTTCCAATGAAAACTATGGGGTTTATAACTGTAGCATCATAAATGAAGCTGGAGCTGGGAGATGCAGCTTTCTTGTTACAGGTAGGATTCCAGATATTATCTTCTTATATATTTTGTTTTTTTAGAGCAAAAACTTTTATACCTATGTCAATATAAGATTGAAAACATTTTATAAATTAATGGAGCATAGAACAGCTTGACTCCTCGAGTTTGAGCTCCTACACATTTATTTTCAAGGCAAGTTTAATAGTTAAAATAGTGCATGGGCCTATAAAATTACGTAGAACTTTATCTGAATTCTAGTAGAATTAGTGAGGGAGGTTGGTTACTGTATGAATTTCACATCACTTGAAAATTTGAATCTAACAGGAGAGAGCTAGGGAATAGAAGTATACAAAGATCCATACATTTGTAATGCACAGAACAAATCTTTCAAAATAACGCTGTTTACTGCTGAGACCTAAATTTAATTTAAAAAATTTTAAATTTTAGCTTTTACAATTATTTTACTCTTCCACTTACTGTAAATTTTGTATAGTCACCCCAAAGTATACTTCATTTAACTATACACCAAAATGTACAGAAACAATTATTCCTCTTTTAAAAAAAAACAATATGTTTATGATGTATGTTAGAGTAAGGGGCTAAAAGAGTGGAGTTGTGTTTACTTAGATATCAGAAGGCATGTGAGAATAGTTTCCTGCTAGGAAAAAGGAGAAAGTAAGCCAAGGTATTTTGGAAACTGTGATGAGCCTAGCTTATAGTATATTATCCAAGTTAAAGATAATTAACTGGATTGCTTGCGAGATGGCCAAATAGCAACAGCTCTAGCATGCAACTCCCAGCAGGAGCAACGCAGAAGGCGGGTGATCTCAACATTTCCAACTGAGGTACCTGGTTCATCTCACTGGGACTGTGGATAGACAGTGGATACAGCCCAAGGAGGGGGAGCTGAAGCAGGGTGGGGTGTTGCCTCATCCAGGAAGCACGAGGTGCCGGGGAACTCCCTCTCTTAGCCAAGGGAAGCGATTAGGGACTTTTCCTGGCACTCTGTCACTGTGGTCCAGAACCACCACCACAAAGACCAGCAAGCTAAGATCCACCGGCTTGAAATTCTCCCAGCCAGCACAACAGTCTGAGCTTCACCTGGGACATTCAAGCTCAGTGGGGGAAGGGGAATCTGCCATTGCCAAGGCTCATGGAGGCTGTTGTAACCTCGCCAGTGTAAACAAAGTTGACAGGAAGTTTACACAGAGACTGGGAAGAGCCCACAACAGCTCAGCAAGGCCTCTGCAACAGACTGGGTCACTAGACTCCCACCTTGCTGGGCAGGGCATCTCTGAAGAAAGGCAGCAGCCCATCACAGACTTATAAATAAAGCCCCCACCTTCCTGGGACAGAGCACTTGGGAAAAGGGGTGGTTGTGGTTCCAGCTTCAGCAGACTTAAATGTCCCTGCTTGGCAGCTCTAAAGGGAGAAGCAGATCTCCCAGCATAGCATTCAGGGGACAGACTGCCTCTTCAAGTGGCTCCCGGGCCCTTGCGTATCCTTACTAGGAGGACCCAGCAGGGGCTGACAGACACCTCATACACGAGAGCTCTGACTGGCATCTGGTGGGTACCTTTCTGGGATGAAGCTACCAGGAGGAAGGAACAGGCAGCAATATTTGCTGTTCAGCAACTCCTGCTGGTGATTCCCAGGCAAGCAGGGTCTGGAGTGGACCTCCAGCAAACTCCAGTGTACCTGCAGCATGGGGACCTGACTGTTTTCGAAGGAAAACTAACAGAAAGGACATCCACGTAGATCACCAATGTCAAAGACCAAAGGAAGATAAATCTATGAAGATGGGAAGGAACAGTGCAAAAAGGCTGAAAATTCCAAAAACCAGAATGCCTCTTCTCCTCCAAAGGATCACAACTCCTCACTAGCAAGGGCACAAAACTGAATGGATAATGAGTTTGATGAATTAACAGAAGCAGGCTTCAGAGGTTGGGTAATAACAAACTTCTCCAAGCTAAAGCAGCATGTTCTAACCCAATGCAAGGAAGCTAAGAACCTTGAAAAAAGGTTAGATGAAATGCTAAGTAGAATAACCACCGTAGAGAAAAACATAAACGACCTAATGGACTTAAAACACACAGCACGAGAACTTCATGAAAGATACACAAGTTTCAATAGCCAAATCAATCAAGCAGAAGAAAGGATATCAGCGACTGAAGATCAACTCAATGATGTAAAGCCAAAAGGCAAGATAAGAGAAAACAGAGTGAAAAGAAATGAACAAAGCCTCCAAGAAATATGGGATTTTCTGAAAAGGCTTAATCTACATTTGATTGGTATACCTGAAAGTGATAGGGAGAATGAAAACAATTTGGAAATCAACAACACTCTTTAGGATATTATCCAGGAGAACTTCACCAATCTAGCAAGGCAGGCCAACTTTCAAATTCAGGAAATACAGAGAACATCAGAAAGATACTCCCTAAGAAGAGCAAACCCAAGACACACAATTATCAGATTGACCAGGGTTGAAATGATGGAAAAATTGCTAAGGACAGCCAGAGAGAAAGGTTGGGTTACCAACCAAGGGAAGCATTATCAGACTCACAGTGGATCTCTCAGCAGAAACCCTACAAGCCAGAAGAGAGTGAGGAGTCAATATTCAACATCCTTAAAGGAAGGAATTTTCAACCCAGAATTTCATAGCCAGTAAACTAAGCTTCATGAGTGAGGGGGAAATACAATCCTTTACAGACAAGCAAATGCTGAAAGATTTTGTCAGCACCAGGCCTGCCTTACAAGAGCTCCTAAAGGAAGCACTAAACATGGAAAGGAACAACTGGTAGCAGCCAAAAACATACCAAACTGTAAAGACCATCAAGACTATGAAGAAACTGCATCAACTAACAGGCAAAACAACCAGCTCGCCTCAAAATGGCATGATCAAATTCATACATAACAGTATTAACCTTAAATGTAAATGCACTAAATGCCCCAATAAAAAGACACAGAATGGCAAATTGAATAAAAAGTAAAGAACCATCAGTGTGCTATATTCAAGAGACCCATTGCATGTGCAAAGACACACATAGGCTTAAAATGAAGGGATGGAGGAAGATTTAACCTACCAACCAAAAAAAAAGTCCAGAACTGGAGGAGTTCATCACAGCCAAATTCTACCAGAAGTACAAAGGAGCTGGTATCATCCCTCTGAAACTATTCCAAACAATAGAAAAAGAGGGAATCCTCCCTAACTCATTTTATGAGACCAACATCATTGTGATACCAAAACCTGGCAGAGACACAACTAAAAAAGAAAATATCAGGCCAATATCCATGATGAACATTGATGTGAAAATCCTCTGTAAAATACTGGCAAACTGAATCCAACAGCACGTCAAAAACCTTATCCATCATGATCTTAATAGGTTTCATCCGAGGAGTCAAGGCTGGTTCAACATATGCAAATCAATAAACATAGGTTCATCACATAAAGAGAACCAAAGACAAAAACCACATGATTATCTCAATAGATTGAGAAGGCCTTCGACAAAATTCAACGCTTATGCTAAAAAACTCTAAATAAACTATAAATGGAATGTAACTCAAAATAGTAAGAGCTATGTATGACAAGATCATAGAAAACAGCATACAGAATGGGCAAAAACTGGAAGCATTCCCTTGCAAACTGACACAAGATGAAGATTCCCTCACTCACCACTCCTATTCAACATTGTATTGGTGGTTATGACCAGTGCAATCAGGCAAGAAAAAAAAAAAGGGCATTCAATGAGGCAAAGAGGAAGTCAGATTGTCTCTATTTGCAGATGATGGCATATCTAGAAGACCCCATTGTCTCAGCCCCAAATTTCCTTAAGTTGATAAGCAACTTCAGTGAAGTCTCAGGATACAAAATCAATGTGCAAAAATCACAAGCATTCCTATACACCAGTGACAGACAAACAGCAAAATCATGAGTGAACTGCCATTCACTAGGCAAATAGGAAAAATCACTATCTTGAAAATGGCCATACTACCCAAATTAATTTATGGATACAATGCTATCCCCATCAAGCTACCATTGACATTCTTCACAGAATTGGAATAAACCACCTTAAATTTCATATGAAATGAAAAAAGAGACTGCATAGCCAATATAATCCTAAGTGGGGAAAAAAAAAAAAAAGACAAAGCTAGAGGCATCATGCTACCTGATTTCAAACTATACTAGAGGTCTATAGTAATCAAAACAGCATGGTACTGATACCAAAATAGAGATATAGACCAATTGGACAGAACAGAGGCCTTAGAAATAATGCCACACATATACAACCACCTGATATTTAACAAACCTGACAAAAACTAGCAAAGGGGAAAGGAGTCTCTATTTAATAAATTGTGTTGGGAAAGCTGGATAGCCATATGCAGAAAGCTGAAACTGGATCACTTCCTTACACATTACACAAAAATTAACTAACTCATGATGATTTAAACATAAAAGACCTAACAACATTAAAACCTTAGAAGAAAACCTAGGCAATGCCATTCAGGATATAGGCATGGGCAAAGACTTCATGACTAAAACACCAAAAGCAATGGCAACAAAAGACAAAATAGACATATGGGATCTAATTAAATTTAAGAGCATCTTCACAGTAAAAGAAACTACCGTTAGAAGGAACCAGCAGCCAACAGACTGGGAAAATAATTTTTGCAATCTACCCATCTAACAAATGGCCAATATCCAGAATCTATAAAGAACTCAAACGCATTTACAAGAAAAAACCCCATCAAAAAGTGGGCAAAGGATATGAATAGACACTTTTCAAAAGGAGACATATTTGCAGCCTACAAACATATGAAAAAAAGCTCATCATCACTGGTCATTAGAGAAATGCAAATCAAAAGCACACTGAGATACCATCTCACACCAGCCAGAATGGCGATCATAAAAAATTTGGAGACAACAGATGCTGGAGAGGATGTGGAGAAATAGAAACGCTTTTACACTGTTGGTGGGAGTGTAAACTAGTTCAACCATTGTGGAAGACAGTGTGGCGATTCCTCATGGATCTAGAACTAGAAATACCATTTGACCCAGCAATCCCATTACTGGATATATACC